TCCCTCCTCCCTCTCCCCCCTCCCACGCAACAATGTCCTTTCTGTTTGCCTGTCGTATCAACTTCAAGGAATTGTAGTTGTTAAGTCTTCTTCCCCTCCCCCCCCCCTGGTTTTTTTTTTGTGTGTGTGTGTGTTTATTTATTTTTAGCTCCCAGGCAGAAAGAATTTTTAGCTTCCCAACTTTTCAGAGTTTGTTTAATAGCCTGAGGTCATGAGTCCCTCACGTAGAGATGAATGCAAAGTTGAAATGTGGTCAACTGACACCCACTGTTCACCGTCTACCTTAATTACAGGAAATACAAGGAATTTTGAAAATTCTTTTGAGAGCACAAAAGTATCTGTGGGAACTATCAGTCTGGCATTTTACAATGGACTCTGGGCGTACGATGGATGGTGAGGCTCTCCTAAGATGTCTTATGTCTGTTTGTGGGGTTTCTTTAGGCTACTTTATTTTTTATTTATTTTATTATTATTATTTATTATTATTATTATTATTTTTTTTTGGTGGCTGGCCAGTACAGGGGTCAAGCCCTGGACCTCGGTGTTATCAACACCATGCTCTAACCAACTGAGCCAACTGGCCAAATCCCCCTCTTTAGGCTACTTTAACTTCAACTTCTGTGGAAAGCAATGACTTCCCCTTTCTGGGGTTTAGTGTGACCCCAAGATTCACCTTCCAATTTACCTTTTGCAGAACACCCAATCACTCTCCTATCTATTCCTCTCAGACCCCACGGACACCGAGACACCTGCCCCTGTCCCAGTCCTGGCTGTGGCTCCAGTTCCTGAGAGCACCCTGTGCTAAGGCAGTGTTGGACCGTGTGCAGAACCCTCACCGGGCAGATACAGGCTCAGCCAACACAGAGACAGCCAGGCTGCCCCAAGCACTTGACAAGGCAAAACATACTCAACAGCACTTCCAATTAAACCTGGAAAGTACTAGGTTTAGTCGATGGGATTCTGTTTATGTCCTCTGAGGAAGAGGAATGGCCATCCACAATGCTGGTCTTTCCCTCCTGGAAAGGTTTTGTAGGTTTCATTCCCTTTTCAGACAAAGGATATTCCATTTTCTCAAAGCACCTTGGGGACTCACTATTTCCAATTATTCTTGAAAATCCACGTGACTCCCATGGTGGGCAAAGACTTGACCGACTGGTCGGTGTATAGGTCTTGGTAGGGCTCCAGGCCCCACCATCACCAGGGCCTTCCTGGAAAGAAATTACCCTGGAATTCCTGCAGGAGAATTTTCTCTACGGTGGAGAATCTTAAGTGAGGCCAGCATTTATCATGTGTATTTCACAATCTCAGCAAACGAAGTCAAGTTTATGTCACTCGTGTCACTTTTCTTTCTCCAGGAATCAACTCAATTACATCACAGAAGAACTCAGAAACCCTTACAGGTAAGAGAGCTGAGTCAGAAGACAGTAGGGAGGCGAGCACATTTCTCTTTTCCCAGACAAAAGGTGGAGCTGCTTCCTTCTGTTATTCCATCACCCCCTTCTGGACAGTGAACGTTTTCTCACAAGCTCATTGTACACTCATTAGAGCTTGGTTTTGTTTTGGGCAGTGGAGTGGTCACATACGTAGCAGAAGGAAGAACTCCAGCCTCCTTTATCTCTGGCTTATTTTGCTTTGTAAGCAATTAAATTTTATTGCCCTGGAGTCTGAGAGGAGGATTCTCATTTCAAAATATCTCACATCCCTGCTGGGCTCTGCTGTACCATAAGTCCCCTGCCTGGGTAGGCCTCAGGAAGGGCATCTGTGACCCCAGCCCACCATGGGGAGTAGGTGGAAGGCTGGCCAGGGAGGGGGGAAGGAAGGACTGATGAAAACGACAATCTCACGAGTCTCCCATGGGAGGATGCTAGTCTGACCCTGTGTCACTGCTCCTCCCAGAAACCTGCCCCTGGCCATTGTCATTGGGATCTCTCTGGTGACAGTGTGCTACATCCTCATGAATGTTTCCTACTTCACGGTGATGACCACAACCGAGCTCCTGCAGTCCCAGGCAGTGGCTGTGGTGAGTGTCCAGGCGTCTCTGCTGGAGGGGGTGTGCTGTGTGGGAAGGGATCAGGCGAGGTATCAATGCTGCAGCTGAGGTGGGGGAAGGAGGGAAGTACCTCGGGGACTGGGAGAGTGGACAGAGCAAGGCACCGCCGAGACCCAGCTGCGGTGAGAGGCCTGGAATCGAGACCCACAGCCGCCCGGGCGCGGGCGCAGCACGAGGCTGGAGTGCAGGGCTGGCTTCCACCGGGGCAGGGGTTCGGACAGACAAACGGAGAGGGGGTGAGAGCAAGGGGGCTGAAGGAGGTAAACGTGAAATGGACTGTGGAGTCCGAGCTGAGCGAGCAGAGAAGTGAGGATGCGAGGTGGTGGCGAGAGAGACGTGGAAGAGGTGGGTGTGACGGGAATTGACGTGGAAACGCCACGGGGTGATGGGGCTGGGAGGACGGAGCAGACGCAGTTCTGGTCAGCGATGAGGCCACTGAGTGGAAGGACAAGGCCATCCCGAGTGAGGGAGTCAAGGAAGTGAGGGACCAGTGTCACGGGACACTGAATGACTAAGACTTACACAGGGAGTGGTGGGTGAGAGCTGGTGGATGAGATGCTCAGAAGACAGGCAGCGCTGTGCCTGCACGAGCGGTCCCCAGTGTCCTCCCGCAGAGGAGTCACAGAGGCTGCGCCGGTGAGGCAGGCGGGGGCCGGGCTCGTCCAGGAGGGCACAGGAGCTTTTTCTGAACCAACAGTTCTTGGAGGCCAGGAAAGACCCCCAGGATTCATCTCGCTTTTCTCACCAGACATTTGGGGACCGCGTTCTCTATCCAGCCTCTTGGGTCGTTCCACTTTTTGTGGCGTTTTCTACCATCGGTGCTGCTAATGGGACCTGCTTTACGGCGGGCAGGTAGGGGATGCCCAGCCACTCACCCCTGGGGTGGGCAGGGGGTGGCGAAGCCCATTCACCCTCGAGGAAGACAAGTGCCTAAAATCCTTAGGACTCTGCCAGGTTAAACCCTTCATGGCACAAGTAGGAAAGCTGAAGTCCAGAGAAGGGAGCTGGCTTGAACCCGCATGGCAAACTGGTAAGAGGCGTGGACCGGCGTGCACACTGGGATCGGACGGGGCTGCCTGCAGTCTGGGCTCTGCCACTTCAGTGGGGCCCGAGGTTCCCAAGTGGGGGAAGGTGCTGCCAACCTCAGCACAAGGCAAAGGGAAGAGACACAGGGCAGATGAGGCGCTGGCTCGCGCGTGGTACATTTCACCTTGTGTTTTTTTCACCTGATGGTATTTCCTGAACATCTTCTCGTATTAATACTCACATATACATAAACTAGACCTGGAATTGGCAAACTTTCCCATAAAGAGCCAGACAGTAAATATTTTAGGCTTGCAGGCCATATAAATTTCGGTCACAACTACTCAGTTCTGCTTTCGTAACAAAAATACAGTCATGGTTTGTTCCAATAACATTTTCTTTACACAAACAGGTGTAGTTTGCCAGTTGTCTAGACCAAACTGGTCTGGAGACTGAAGGGCTGTGCTGTACCCCACTGCGTGACGCAGCGTAGCTTCACAAACCCTCCCTCGTGGTACGGGTGTGGGCAGTGAACATCCTGGAATACATGTCTTTGCCAAGTTGTCCAGTGTTCTAAATAGATATATTTCTTTTTTCTTTCCTTTTTTTTTTTTTTTTTTTTGGCAGCTGGCCAGTAAGGGGATCCAAACCCTTGTCCTTGGTGTTACAACACCACACACTAACCAACTGAGATAACTGCTCAGCCCTTTTAGCAATTTTGAAAGATACTTTATTAACTTAGGTAACCTTGCTGTGCAATAGATCACCAGAACTTATTCATTCTGTCTGAAACCCTTTGATCAACATGTCCCTTTCCCCACATAACCCTTTACCCCTTCAGCTTCTGGTAACCACCATTCTGTTCTCTCTTCTATGAGTTAGAATTTTTAGGTTCCACATATAAGTGAGACGATGTAATATTTGTCTTTCTGTGCCTGGCTTATTTTACTTAGAATACTGTCCTCTGGATTCATCCACGTTATTGCAAATGACAGAATTTCATTTAAAAGGCTGAATAGTATCCCATTGTGGATATACTCATATACCACATTTTCTTCATCCTTTTGTCTGCTGATGGCAATTTAGGTTGTTTCCCTATCTTGGCTATTGTGAATAATGCTGTAACGAACATGGTAGTGTAGATAGCTCTTTGACTTACTGATTTCAATTCCTTTGGATATATACCCAGGAGTGGGATTGCTGGATCATGCAGTAATTGTATTTTTAGTTTTTTGAGGACCCTCTATACTGCTTTCCAAGTGGATGTACTCACTGACATTCCCACCTACACTGTACAAGGGTGCCCTTTTCTCCACATCCTCTCTAACACTTACCTTTCATTTTTTTGATAATAGCCATTCCTGTTGGTGTGGGAAGGTATCTCACTATGGTTTTTATTTGCATTATCATCCCTGATGATTAGTGATGTGAGCATTTTTTTCATGTATTTGTTAGTCTTTTGTATATTTTCTTTTGAGAAGTATCTATTCAGGTCCTTTACCCATTTTTTCAATAAGGTTATTTGTTTTGTCATTATTGAGTAGTCTGGGTTCCTTATACATACAAATATTTTAAATTTTTAATTTTTTCCAGTTGTAATGATTCACTTTTATTATGATCAATATTAAAAGATACAAGTAGTTCAACAGACTCAGAAGCTTAAAAGAAAGATTGGGATCTGCAAAACATCCAGGCAAAGAAAAATAAGAATCCAGAATGGAAAAGAAATGAAAAGTGAGGATTTTGAAATAAGGCTTGCATCATTTCTGACAAGTACAGATGTGTCAGTAGTTGGCAATGTGCTTGATTGAGAGTATTCGCTCCTCACAGGTTGCCAGGGGCTGGAATTCTGGGAGCATAAAGCCATATTTATCTTTATCCTGGAGTTCAAAGGTGAAGGAATATTTGATTCCTTGGTCATGAGCCCAGTTGTCAGAGCCACCAGCAGCAGGATATAGACTGTTGCAGCTCCTGGGCAATTTGTGTAACTGGTGCTGTGCAGTGAGGCAAGCTCTTTCACAGTAGCTTTAGCCAGGGCACCCAGCTCAGCGTTGTTCTCAGTGAGTCTATAGTCGTAGGAGTAAGGGTAGAGCATCATCTGGGAGTATGAATGGATTGTCAGGTATGCCTTGACAGGAGAGAGGTTGTCGTGGATGAAATCAGCCAGGGCCTTGGTCTCCTTTTCAGACTCTGCAGCAGGTCCACAGTAAGTGTCATCACAGGGCTTTTGAAAGGCTCCAATTTTGCACCAACCAGCATCAAAATTTCTGTTAGTGTCTGTGCCAGTGCAGGTAGTTTTGGTATGGGTGGAGCAGGTCTTTCTCCACATTCAGTTTTTGGTCCAGGTGTAGATGTACCCATCAACATTGAGTACAGGCAGGACATAAAAGTTAACTTATCAAGAAGCTCTGTCATGTGGATTTCACGTCAATATGTGGGAACAGCTTCTCTCACAAACCCACTGGCAAAATGCGGGAGAAATCAACTTTCTGGCATGGGAACCACATTCCATGAAAATGGCAGGCTTATTTGGTCAGCTTTGCCAACCTTGAGGAGGTACATAGTGCATCCTGCAAACATGGTTCCAAAGACACCGCAGGAGATGAGGTCTGATTCTCAGGGGCAACTTGTTGAGTCCAAAGCTTTTATCGTTTCCCAGTTGTACTTCTCATAACTGTGTCCAGTCACATGGACCAGGCTAAGAAATTGAGCCTCCAGCACATCTTTCAGGTAACTTTTCAGTACCTCATACTGTAGTTCCTTCTACTCCAGGAAGTCCTCCACAGTGACAATATCTTCTGCTTTAACACGGAACTCAACTGTACTGTGAGAGTTGATTTGTGTGGCAGAATGTGCTTTCCAGAAGTTAATCTGGGTGGTGCTGGCCAACTCATGGATTAAGTTGATGTCATTTTCATCTTTTACACTGACACAGAACACTTCTCACTGCTTTTATAATCCAGTGTTCTTTGTTTGCTTTTTCTGATTGCAAATAGGCACTATCAGATTTTGATTAATGGCATTGTTGCCTTCATAGCTGTATACAGTCTGAAAGTGTATCTCTCTCAACACAGTTTTGGAGGCTGGGGAGTCCACAGTCCAGGGAACACATCTGGTGAAGGCCTTGTTGGTGGTGACAGTGATGCAGGGGTCTCACATGGCAGATGGTGGAGCAGAGAGAAAGAGTTCCTTATATATTTTGGATATGGGCCCCTTATGTGATGTATGGTTCGCAAATATTTTCTCCTAATCTTTGGGCTGTCTCTTCATTCTGTTGTTTGCTGTGCAGAAGCTTATTAGTTTGATGCAGTCCCGTTTGTCTGTTTTTGCTTTTGTTGCCTGTGCTTTTGGGGTCATATGCAAGAAATCAATGCCCAAACCAGGATCGTGTAGCTTTCCACCCATGTTTTCTTTTAGTAATTTTATCATTCCAGGTCTTACAGTTAAGTCTTTAATCCATTTTGAGTTGATTCTTGTTAACGCTTCTTGCTGTGTAACAGAGACGCAAAAAAAGATTACTCAAAGCAACATGAATGCGATGAGAAGCCCAAAGGGACTGCACATCAGCAACTCCTGTGTTAGGAGAAAACTGGGCACAGCCCCAATTCAAAGTTAGCTTCTGTTCTTTATTGTAAAGACAAGGAAGTTTCACAAGAAAAATCAGTTGATTCAATCATTTAAAAAGAACACAAAGACATGGGCAGTGTGACAAAAGTTATCTATGGCTAAGTATAGCTTAAACAATGGAAACTAGAAACATCATTAAAATTAACAACGTGACATTCCAAAGTACAATTTGTGAAAAGCTAAATTCATCAAATTGTGATCATTACCTAATCCAGAATATAACTTCTCCTTAAATGACTTAAGCAAGAGCTGCATTCTTACAATTAAATCTAAGTACAATTGTCTAAAGTTTCCACCAACAAACAGCTTGTCCTTAGCAAACATTTTTTCACATTTTTCCCTACAGCAATTCTTTAAAATCTCTTAACAGGATCGGTATGTCAACCACCTGTTAGCTCTAAAATCATTAAAGTATACAATCCTATACCTAAACAGTGATTAGAATTGATTAGATGGGCTGTTGTTGCCTGCTAACTGTAGACCATTGTCTCTTAACTGAGGAATTTTGTCCCATACCTGCATTACCTAAAAACCCAATTCTAAAAATCAAACAAGAATCAAGATTTCTAACCTTCTACAGATTCTTATATAAAGGGTGAGATAAGGGTCTAATTTCATTCTTCTGCATGTGGATAGCCAGTTTCCCCACTTCTATATGAATATTAGAATCAGCTTGTAATTTTCTATAAAAAAAAACTTTTGGGGACTTTTATCAGGAATTGAATCTATAGACCAATTTGGGAAGGACTGCATCTTAAAAGTATTGAATTTTCCAATCAATGGGCATGAACTATCCATTTATTTAGGTCTCTTTAATTTTTAGAAAATGTTTTTTCAGTAGTTTTCAGTATACAGATCTTGCACATCTTTTGTTAAATTTATTCCAAAGTGTTTAATATTTTTTTATGCTATTATAAATGATATTTTTTAAAAATTAAAAACTTTTTAGTTTCTGGTGTTCATTGCTAGTATATACAAACACAATTTTTTGTTGTTGTTGGAGAATGTGGGTAACAACAAACACAATTTTTTTTTTTTGAGCAGTAAGGGGATCGCAACCCTCAGCATCGTGTCATCTGCACTACTCTCAGCCAGTGAGCGCACCGGCCATCCCTATATAGGATCCGAACCCACAGCTTTGGCGCTACCAGCACCGCGCTCTCCTGAGTGAGCCATGGGGCCAGCCCAACAAACACAATTTT